TTTTTTTTAAATTTCACGTACCCCCTAAGATGTCTTCGCGTACCCCCGGATATAATTTCTCTTCAACTTTGTACCCCCCAAAGTTGTTGGTGTATAATTCAAGTTATACATAGTATATAATCTACATCTAAAATAAATTAAATAAATTACATTACTGATTATTCAGTGTTTATCATAAAACATTTTTCTTTAAATTTCACGTACCCCCTAAGATGTCTTCGCGTACCCCAGGTTGAATACCACTGCACTAGAACATGGGAATGGAGGCGTAATGGTGTGGATATGCACGTTCAGATAGTTGCTAACCATGTAGTAATTGTTAACTGATATAAAGAATGCACACCACAGAAGATTCCATTTAACTCAGTCCGACAGAACCCACAATGTCACAAAGGTGAAAAACTTAATCATCCAAGGACAGTTACAAATGTGACTTTTGGTCAGATGGTCAAATAATATTAGATTGTGCTCATTCATGTTTTTCCAGAGAAATACATTTCCATAATCTACTTCCTTTCCACAGCTTTGGTAATAAATTGGTTGTTGCAAATGGTTCAAGTTTTCTAGTGCCACTCTGATGTTCACATTCAGAATCAAAACTAGCATTTCTGTCATCAGAGTATGGGGTATCACATTCTAACATCATCAGTGTTTTATCTAACTCTCTTCTGCACGTAATGAAGTCCACTTTATACAAACAATATTTGGACACTGGCTTGGTTTACGAACTATCATAATTCATGTCAATCACACAAAGAAAGAAATAAACAAGAAGAATTAAAGTGGCAATGTAGGGCAATCACTTCCCAATAGATGTCTGAAGCTTTCAGTTTTCAACAAAACAAAGATTTGTTGTATCTTTGCATCTACAGGACACAAAGTGAGAAAGTACAAGCATGTTCACACTTCATGCAGCACTGTGACACTGAACATACTGCAATGTTCATATATGAAAGAGGGTCAAGTACTGTAACAGATATGAATCTTACCTTGGCAGAGAAAAGGTAATCAGCATCTGGAGGCTCCAGCACAGCAAGGTTCTCTAATACAGCGTCAACCTCCTTGTTCATCACATGAAACGAGCAAGGTTGTTCCAGGGTGAATGGGTTATGAGGCGGAAATGCGTCTACCCAACGGAAATTGGTAGAAAAGAAGTCTGATGGGATATACATGTTTGCGTACCGCCTTCGCAACTCCAAAACATCAGCTTCAGGCCTGAAATAATCCATTTTCAGCACCTTACAGTGGCATTTCAACGAATACCCTACTGCATTACCAACAAATAAGAGATGTTATTACAACACAAGAATGTTACATTATGCTGCTCCACTGTGTTTTAATGAAGGACTGCCAACCTTTTTTGTTGTGCACGCAATTTGGGCAAAATTTGGTCTGTATGCGGACAACATGAAGTTCAATATATGAAATGTAGAATACATACGTATAATTACACACACACATATATATACATTTATCTGCATATTTTTCTATACATTATATACAATAAAAATATACTGATGAAAATGTGAAAAATTTGTAAAAAATGCAATACACAACCTAGGCTAGAGTGCGTTTATTTTTAGTACATTTTTACAAAATGAATTAGTAATGAAATATATGTCTCCATAAACCAAAAGCTCATAACCTTTTTAAATCACAATTGCACTGATTTAAACTTGGGTGTGATCTTTTGCACAATAAGACTGGCAATGAAAATATCAGAAAGAAGTCGATGCTGATGTCTGCACATCTGCAAATCGTTAACTAGAAAACATCCCCGTAACAATACATGTTGGCAATCGTCGACAAAGTTATTTTAATCCCAGCAAAGAACAACCACTAAGAATAAGGATTTATGATAGGGTCACTTGGGAATATGGAAGTGGTGATAAGTTTTCTTTCATAGTTTGCTAGGAAACTGGTGGAATTGCTTTGGCGTTCTATTGCGCCCTTGCCAGGGAAAGGGTTAAAAGGTGTTTTCTTATTTCAAATGTCTTCATGGGTAACATAACATTGTGTTGTGGTACAGGTTGGGCAGGCCTGTTTTAATGTTACTTGATAAATCTGTTTGGGTATTTATAGTCAAAACGTTTGTTTCAAAAATGGGTAATAGAGATTAATTCTAAGACACCAGCTGTCCAGCCAACAGAAACATGTTAAATTACATTTCTGGACTTTGTCCATCACCTAAATTATAAAATTACAGTGTTTCAAAAGCTGGATTCTGCTTTCACCATCAGATAAAAAGGGGGAACAAGAACAGAAAACCTATTTCTTTCACCTGATGATGAAAGCAGACTCCAGCTTTTGAAACATTGTAATTCTACAATTTAAAAACCCAAACAATGAACATAGTCCAAGAGAGCAATTTAACACAATACAACATTCCACTGTCAGAAACATTAAAACTTTAAATACAGAAATATATTTTACTTTAGATATCAGAGGTATCAAAATACACTCAAAATACAAGCACACTTACATATCAAGAGCAATCTTAGGTATCTGCACCATGTAGCGAGGAACTATTCTAGCTCTTCTTCTTGGCACTGGACGTGGACTCTTGCTACGGCGACGAACTGATGGACTTCTCTTTTCCTTTTCCTCTCGCTCCCTGGACATAAGATCAGTGGAAACTGACAACAGTGATCCCCATATTTTGTGTCTGAACGGGTCACTTACACTGAATGTATTAATGACAATTAAAACAAAATCAGACCAGGAAGTGAGAAGAGGGTACACTGCAAAACTGGAACCAAATCGGGGATAACGATCAACTGGGTCCCCTTGTTAGGCTCGATTCTAAGTCGGCTACAAGGTCACCAGTATGCCTGGTCAATGTGCAATACCCATTTCTCTCTGACATGTAGCATAGGGGCCTCTTACAGAAGTTTCTATCTACTTTCTTTAGACTTTTGTAGGGACTCTTTGGACGAGCGATCCGCCCATCACATGACCTCTACCAAAGACATGGGTGAGAAATGGCAGCTGAATTTTGCTTACAGAACATCTTGTTCATGCTCGTAAGGTTCTTTTACATGCCATAAATCTACGACATGAGACTGCCGGCTTTACTTCCCCTCCGAAGGAAGCCGTGCTACGAATCTCTATCATCCATTAAAATCCATCGACCTCGGCTGGGTTTGAACCTGCAAGCCTTGGGACCAGTGGCAAGCATGCTACAACTAGACCACCGAGGACAACTCACTGTACAATGATGGATACAAAATACCTACAACTGTGGCCAAACATTCTTTCACAAACTCAAGTAGTGATCTTCCAATATTAAAACATAAAACACCTTAATATTTTACACATAAAGTATATTACACTCATGAATTAAATAGCGTGTTAATGAAAATGCAAAACCTCATATAGGATGGATAAAAAGAAGTTGCCAATGCAAGCTACCTTTAGAGATTTTTAAAATATCTTGAAGTGAATTGGCAGCATGTTAAATAACACAAAAATAATAACAGATCAATTAATTTGTCAATAAAAGTTTTGCACTATGTTATCATACTCTTAACATGCAGAGACTACAACTGCACCAACAAACAAGACAGCAGTTGAGTGTTGAATGGGCAATAAGGCATTACCACTTGATAGTGGGACCCTTGGCTGTAAGTAAACAGAATCCCACCAGTCAAAAACAACTGCATCTGCTCTATGCAAGTACGAATCTTACACAAGACCAAGTACAGAAAATAACCACACACAAGAATTCAAGAAAAATTTAAGTGTTCTCATGAATTTCTACAGTATTGATATAAATATGTAAAACTGAATGTAGAATATTCCACACTTATGTTCAAAAATTAACAGACATAAATTACACGATCTATTGTGGCCTAATACTGTGAAGAAGTGAACATATCAAGTTACATTCCAACATATAAAAAACATGCATACAAACAAAACTGTTTACACTTTGAAGGA